CGTCTGTCTCAGGTAAAACCGGAGCAATTGCATCCACAATGATTACTTTTCCATCATCTGGTATAGCATTGTAACAATTCTTCAACAGCTTCACGCATTGATCATCGCTCCAGTCATGAAGTATCCACTACAAAATTAATTTCCCAAATCCCACCTTTGAAGAATTTCCAATTCAAGAAAAGCAATTAAATTTGTGGATGGACAATTTGATATGTACTACTATGTCGTTATTTATATGTACCAAGAAAAAAATCACAACTTACCTTCATAAAAATGGCATCTCCCTTGGGAACACTTTCGAACATATCCCCTCCTACATGTTCAACACCTGCAAGTAAAAATTTATATTAATCTCATTCTTACTATGACATTGTTTAGTTTAGTTGTTAGAAAATAGCTAATAGCTAAGTTGATGGTTATTGATATCATTATTGGATATCCATTATCAACTATTAAATGTTCTCTAACAACTAAATCAAACACTGCCTATATTTCAGCATACTATTCCTACACAGGAAGAGTGAAATTAAATAAAAAGAACTTTTTTATATGTGCTTGTGATGTTGTATACCAGGGTATGGTGGAGCATGCTGAATAACATGAGGCAAGTCGAAATTAATTCCTTGGATGGAACGATATTTGGCAGTGATGAAGCTAAGGGTGACTCCAAGACCCCCACCAACATCAACCAACCGCCTAAGATGCTCAAAACCCTTGTAGGACTCAAGGATCTCCTTGATAAACATGGTGGTTTGATTCATCATTGCTTCATTAAAAACTTGATTGAACCTAGAATCTCTAGCTGGGTATTCAAAAGCGTGCATTCCATGGACCCTGTTAAATGGAATTCCTCCTTCAACAATTGCATCCTTCAATTGGTACCTGAGTAACAATAATGAAAACCAATTTTAGAAACAATAATGAATTAGATAAAACAAGGGAATTAATTGATTGTCACATACCAACTATCTAAGAAGACCTTGTCCTGAACCAACATCAGCAAGGGGCCTAAAGAAACACCATCTCCATTTCGGATGAAGTACTTGGACACAGGTGCTAAACCATATCGCCTCTGAGGATCACCGTGATTGTCAAAATCAACAGAGCAAGTGACCACGCTGTGGGTGGCTAGGAGCCTGAGGATGCGATCCAGCATCATGGGTGCATCTGGACTGCAAGTGGCCAACTGGGAAGCAATCTCTTGTGGTGAGAGCTTGGCATCTGCACCAGCTTCTGCAATGATCTGAAAAATGTCCAGTTGAATTGCTGCGTGAAGGGCCATGGGCAGCACAGATAAGTTAACAAGCTGCATGGCATATGAGGAATGTTCTTGATCTTTGTCTGTGTCACTATGGATTTGGCTTTGGGTTTCTGCCAGGGAGCCCATTGGATCATAGAAATTGAAGTAGTAGCTTCTTTAGGATTACAAACTACAAGAGTGTTGAACTAATAGTTGGGTGGAGTGATTGAATAAATAATGGTGGTTGGGCGTCCACTTGGGTTTGGTTTTTATGTACAGCTAATAATTGTCTATTGTCTCTTTGGCAAGTGATATCACTGATATGGCTGATCAAAAAAAAAAAAAAGAGATGTCACTGATATGAAGTCACCATTCACGAATCATGAATGCATTTTCAAAAATCTCAATTCTTAATGAACTCACGAAATTGTATTTGCAATGAATAATTTTTATGAGGCAATTGAAAAGTCACCAGCAACGTATCATGGATGTATTTTCAAAAATCTAATTCTCAACTAACCCAATGACTGACTTATTTGTTGCAACGTGCAAAGTCACAATGCATGGATGAAATGAAATGGAAACCATGCCAAGATATTCAAACAAGATATCAAGGACAGGGACCTAAGCCAAAACAGAATCAAAATCACTTAGCATTATTCCTATGGCAACTATGCCGCCATATCAGACTTACAAAAAGAATGCATACCAAAAAAAAGAAAAAGAAAAAAAACACTGCACATGCTAAAAAGTCAAAATGAAATATTGACTTGAAGTGAGATAGAAAAGGCGTTTTCAAAAAGCAAAAGCCTTCCCTTGCATTGTCAGCACTGATGGAGTTCAAGACATGGAAAAAGGACATAGACCAGAAACCAGGAAGAAGAGAATGATAAACATGGGAAACATTGACATTGTCTCCTCATTCATTGAATCTTCAATATATTGGCAGCCATGCCTTCATGATTCATTGTTCATGGTGGTCCAACCTTTTCTATCAAGGGTTATATTAAAAAGCAACATCACATGGACTTTCACCTTGTTGGAGTTGTGGTGTGAAAGCTGCCACACAGTGCCAGCAAATGAAAAAAACTGAGCTGCACCAAGAGTACAGTAGCAGCCACATGGAGTTGCACAAATTAGTCAATGTCTTAGGTAGAAATATTTATCGTACTAGGTAGAAATTAGCATTTATGTAGTATGAGG